CTCCCTTTCTTCCTTTCTTTCTTTCCACTCTCCCTCCCTCCCTTTAGAGGTCAAAATGGGAAGCCCCACCGCTGCCTGCCAGTTGTCCAGTCTGCCTGGAGCCCCTGACAGCTTTAAAAAAAAAAACCTGTGGAACAGCGCCTTCTTTTTCCTTTTCCCACCTTCCTCTCCAGCCTTCCTGCTCATGGACTCCAGCCTCACGCCACCCTGTACCTGATTCTGCCTGCCCAACACCGAATGGGCAGTTGACCTCCCACTCCATGCCAGAAGCTGCTTTCCCCCATGCCTGAAGCCATGCGCCACTGGCGTTCCGCTGCTGCGTCCCCCCTCCATGTCAGAATCTGCTTTCTCCCATGCTTGAAGCCTTGCGCCACTGCCATTCGGCTGCTGCACCTCCACCATAGCCCCACAGCCTCTCCAATTGCCTATCGCCCATCGCACCCAATTGGGTGGCAGCTAATTGCCCTGCGTGGCGAAAGGCCTGGGACAAACAGTGTGTCGGCAAATGGGCTGGGCCGAAGGGCACGGGGTGGAGGGCCAGAGGCCCATTGGCCAGGGCGAATGGCTGGGGGAGGGCCAGTGGACGAGGGAAGATGGTTGTAAGTGGGCTGAGGCCAGGGGGTGAAGGAGGTGTGGCCAAAGGTGGGAGATGGGTCCTAGACCCATCTCTCCCCTCACCCAATATACAAAAATAGTATACAACATACTAAAACAAACTTTATTTCTAAATTGGGGGCTTTTGGAGCAGACTGGACAGATGCAGTGAAATTGCTAACTGAATGATGTTGCCTGTTAATCAAGATATTAAAGATACTGAAGACCAAAATAAAGCAATTCCGATTCTATGTGATAATCACATAGACCTTTTATGAATTGAGAACATTCTGTTTAATAATCATTTAAAGATGAAAACTTGAGATAGATATATTAAATATATTACTACTCTAAAAGTCTGCTTACTTTTAAAGCATGACTTCAATGTGATGTTCAGTAAATTAAGTGGCTGTAAAGTAGAATTTTTTTCTATTTTTTGTTATAGCACAGTTATTACCTTTATAAAGGTATGAAACTTTGCCGCTGACATTTAAAATAAGCTAATTTGTGCCTTAAGAATGGAACTTTTGCCACATAATATAATTTAAACAAAAAATGGAAGAGATAATAATACAGCTTTTAACATTTTATTACATTGTGGAATTTTTTTTATTGTGCTTAGTATGTTCTAAGCCAGGAGTGGGCAATTGTGGCTCTTTTACAACCTGTGGACTTCAACTCCCAGAATTCCTGAGACAGCTGTTCTAAGCCAATGGTGGTAAACTTTTTAGGGACCGAGTGACCAAACTGTAACCCAAAACCCACTTATTTATCACAAAGTGCCAACATGGCAATTTAACCTGAATAATGAGGTTTTGTGAGGAATTTTAATCACTCTTTCACAACTTGACTTCTCCCTGGTGGCACTGGATTTCTTTAACAGCACAACTCAGGAATGAGGGAGTGTAGTGCAATAGCCTCTGGAGGGCCATCACATCCTTCCTCCCTCCCTCCTCTGATTTCACCTTCCTTCCTTTAATCCTGCATGTTATGGTTCATTATTGTTAGTATTTATTTAAAAATGCTGTGTAGCTTAGAAGCTGCATAACAGCAGCTGTTGTTTGTGGCTGAAGCTATCCTGGTTACTTATACACACACACACACACACACACACACACACACACACACACACATTTTTATTCCACTTTCCCTGGGTCCTTGGGAAAGGAATTGCATCTTTTCCCCATCCCCGTCTTTAATAAACCCTAACCCCCCTCGCAGCCTTTTAGCTTCTATTGTCCCATCTAGCTTCCCCCTCCCCTTAAAACAAGGCTATGGAAGAAAGCCGGGAGGGGGGAATCTAAGGGGGAGGGAAGAAGAGACCCAGGCAGATCCCTCTCTGAATAGCCTCTCACCCAGATTTCATCTGATTTCCTCTCCGATCCTCTGACAAACAGACCCCACCCCCTTTTTGGGACTCTTGACCACTGGGCCTTTATTTTTCCCATTTATTTGGGGGAAATTGGATTTTTATTGGGTCTTCCCCCCGCCCCATGCCAAAAGGAAATCCAGCCAGGCTTCTCCTAGAAGCCCCCCTATCCTTTACCCTGCTCCCTACCCCCCACTCAATCCCACTTCGCGACAGTGGAGCAAGCACTGGCATGTTGGAGCGACGTGGGAACGTGCCTTCTGACCCTCCAGCGCTTGGCCTGCAACTCTCCGCACTCCTCCATGCCTGGCTTGCTGAGGAGGGGGGGAAGCAGCCCTGACGCCTCCGCTGCCTCCCCCCCCCCCCATGGCTCCAGCCATCGCTGCCCTGCTTCCTGAAAGGTGCGGTGCAGTTCAAAGGCAGCAGCTCACGTCTGGAGGTGCCAAACAGCGGGACAGCTGTGAGAGCCGGGCCAGGCCTCTCCAGCATCCAACTCGCCAATGGTGCACTTCTGTTGAGCCAGCCACACACACCCCTACCTCCCACTGGGCTTTTGTGCTCAGTGCTCAGCCGGGAGAGGAGAGTGCTTCCCCACGCCACCCCTACTTTCTCTTGGCCCCGACGACGAGTGAGGAAGAAGGATAAGGTGCAAAAATAAAAAGAAAATATTTATTCTTCAATACCCATGAGAAATTAAAGAGAATGTGAATTTGATTTTTTTTCTTTATTTTACATAAGCACATATTCTTCATTTTAGCTGTTTAATTTGCATAAATCTTCTAAATGTCAAAGTACTATATCAGTTTTAAAAATGAATATTTCTACAAAATAGAGCAATACAGCAGTGTTTTTATAAACACTGGATTGGAATCAAATTCGCAAACTAGACTGGGCAAAAGATGGAATAAAAATCAATGGCACCTATTTAAATCACTTAAGATTTGCAGATGATCTCTTCTCACAAGATCCAAAACAGCTTCAAAGACACATACAAGAGCTGCACAATACAACCAGTGAAACATGGGCACTAACCTCACAATACATAATACATGTATAATACAATACATGTATTATACTGAAGACACTCTTATTCCTGTGATGCAGCATATGGCAAAGAATGTAATATTGGTAAACTGGGGCCTTATAAAGCACATGACTATCAAAAATAAACATGCCAGCAGCAAGCATGCCAAGATTAGCACCCTTCCAGCATTGAATTCTGCAGTCGTACAGGATTTGGCTAAACCATTGTTGAAATAAATATAATTTAACTGTTTGGACAAAGTTGACACCATGTGTCACTGTTGTGTGTGTATATAATATATTCTCTTAAAGTTTTTAATAAACTTCCTTACTTCAAAAAAAAAAAAAAGATTTGCAGATGATCTCTTCTCACAAGATCCAAAACAGCTTCAAAGACACATACAAGAGCTGCACAATACAGCCAGTGAAACATGGGCACTAACCTCACAATCGGTACAAAAACTACAAGTGGCGCAAAGAGCCATAGAAAGGTATATGTTCAGCAAAACAAGACAAGATAGAAAAACCTTCACATGGATTAGAGAACAAACAAAAGTATACAATATCATCAAGAGAGTAAAAGAATTGAAATGGAAATAGGCTGATCACATAGCAAGAAGAACTGATGATGGCAGGTGGACCAAGGCAGTCATAGAATGGATCCCACTTGATTAAAATGCATCCACGAAAAAGACTTAAAACAAGATGGATTGACAATATCAGCAAGTATTGTGGGCCCAATTGGTAAAAGAAAGCACACACAGTATTGATTGGAAACATGTGGAACAAGCCTTCATCCTGAAATGGATAGACAATGGCGATGATGATAGATTCATATTTGGGTATGTGGTACTGGGTTGATATGAGCATTTTTTCTGCTACTTCTTAAAGCTTCCTTTCCCACAAAATACAACATAGAATGTAAAATCATAAGACTTTAAATGTAATGGACTGTTGTTTAGGCATCCCCCTCCCCTTTCCCTGCTCATCAGGTAGGGATACTTTCTACTCTTCAATCCTCTGTGCAGCATTTTCACCAGGCTGAAGATAGTCCTGCAGAAGGTATGAGTAAAATGTGTTGGGAAATGCTCAGCCAAGCACGGAGGAGGATTCAAGTGGGGAATTTGCCTTGAATCGTTGTGCAGCTGCAAGAGATCCAGATCTCACCCCCCTTCCCCAGCTCCATAGAACTTTATTTATCAAGCAGTCTGGGGAGATTCCTGTATTATAGGCAGAATACAATAAAGTAATTTGAATGCTACAGATGTGGGTCTTAATTCTTGTTATTTAAGTACACAGAACCAAATTATTGCATTCAAATTGAGGCAATTTAATCTTGGTGATATGAAGAAAAATGGAGCACAATTCTATGTATGTTACTTTAATAGGACATTTTTGTATGCTTCAGTGATGGGTGTTTTTCTTAGAAGCTGCTTTGACTGATACAGTGCTATATAAGGATATATAGCAATATTTTTCCCCAGGTATTTGGTAGTAACCATCCCAATAACAGTACAATGAAATCTTAATTTGGTAAGGGTAGCATATTGCTTCAGATAACCAAGCAACTGCTTATTTATGGTAATTCTGCCAAGTGAATTACTTTATGGAAAGCATTTTCTTTCTTCTTTTAACTTGGAACAAACTTCAAAAATATTAATAACCTAATAAGTAGTCACATATTAATTTTCATTCTATACAATTTGGACAGGAAGGCATTGAGATGTGTATACATAGTATAGATTTCTATACTCAATGGAGGAATATCTAACTGTCTGATGTAAAGTTCTAAACCTATTCAATATGTTTTGTGAAGTCATTTGATCCCTTGACAGTGTTCATTACAGGTAAGCAATCTGTCATAAAAGGAAGGTACCCCAAATGAGCCAAACACTAATGAATATACATAAAGAAAAACGTGAAAACAGTAAATAATGCAAAAGAAGTAGATGATGGAAAGAATACTTGCTATTAGGATAGACAAAATAGATAAGCTTCTTACTTTGTTTTAAAGAAACCTGTAAAGAGAGACAGAGAAGGTAAAGAAAAACTAGACATGAGTGAGGAAGAAACTGGAAGTGGAAGGAGGCAGAATGAGAATAAGGCATGTAAAGAGGGAGAGAAAAAGCAAGTAGGTTAGTAATTTTTTTAAAAATTTCATTACATATATATATATATATATATTTAAAAGGGGGTTAAATCCATGTTTGCTGAATTCATCTTATTACCAAATTAATTTTGGCTGAAAGAAATTCTTAAAAATAATACAATGATAGTTTAATGTAAAGTTCCCAAGTTTCTGCCATTAAAGTGCCTTGAGATTCAGTGCATTGAGGCATATATATATAACAGAACATAGTAATTCTCAAATTAAAAACTGATCTATTAGAAAGATTGTGTTCAGTAATTGAATACAATTGTTTCCCTGTAAATACCAAGTGTATTCACCTAACCGTACCTTAATTTACCAAGTTATGTGAACCTTTCTCATAAACATACGCAATATTCTTTCTTCTTTAAGTTAGGAAATAATTAGATCAAAACATCTATAGCCATAGTTTTCTGTTTCATCCAATCTGGAATATCAAACTAATATGTAACCATGATTTTTAGGTTGAAAGAAAATAGGAAAAATCCACTGTTATTTTTGTAATTGCATATGTGTTCATTTGATAGAATAAATTTCTGTAGATCACCTTGTCCAAATTTCTGCCATATATATACTCACAGGATGGCAGAAAGAAAAAGAAGCATTTTTCTAAGTTCTATTCTGAGCTTGCTTTATATTATTAACAGTTTTGCTTCCATTGCATTTAGTAAAACAGTTTAATACCAGCTCCAAAGCTAGAATAACAGGGTTGGAAGGGACCTTGTAGGTGATCTAGTCCAACCCCCCACCCAAGCAGGAGACTTTACACCAGGGGTCCTCAAACTTTTTGAACAGGGGGCCACTTCAGGGTCCCTCAGACTGTTGGGGGGGGGCGGACTGGCTAGGTGGGTGTGGCTGGGGCCCCATGTGATTGGGTGGGCGTGGCTAGCTGGCCATGTGACTGGGTGGGCGTGGCTATGTGCATAGGAACTACTCAGGGGGCTGAAAAAAGTTATTTCTGACTGGTCGTTGCACTTTTGACCGGTCCTCACACTTATGACCATCCTCACATTTATGCCCGTTGCAGCATTCTTAACAACTTTGTCACTCATTTCACAACTACTTCTCTTCACCACGGTGACAAGATAGGGCGCAAAACGTAAAATGTGAAGACAGTCGTAAGTGCAAGGACTGGTCATAAGTGCGAGGACCGGTAAAAAATAACTTTTTCAGCCCTCTGAGTAGTCCATCTGCACAGGGACTACCCAGAGGGCTGAAAAAAGTGATTTCTGACAGGTCCTCGCACTTTTGACCAATCATCATTTATGCCAATTGCAACACTTAATTAAATTAATTAAATAAAAATGACCTACTGGAGCGGTCAGAGGCAGTCCGAGGCGGGCGTTCGGGCCAGCTGCAGAGCAAGGTGATACAACCGGGTTAGATAGGCCGCTACTGCCCAGGTGGGAGGCAGGCGCAGGCCTACAGAGCTACTGCAGGGTGAAGCTATGGGATGGGGTAGGTCAGGGGTCTGCAACTTTAAACACTCAACCTTAAATACATGTAAGTGCAACCTTAAACCTGGGTGGGCATTGCCAATTCCATATCACTTACTCCCACCCAGATTTTGTGGCTTCCAGTATTTTCTTTTAAACAGGTATCTCTGTGTGTCTCTTTCATCTCTCTCATCTCTTTCTTTCTCCCCCCCCCCTTTCTCTCCTTCATCTCTCTTTCTCCTGTCCTGCCCGGGCAGCGGCGGTGGCAGTGCACCTACCGCACCATCAGGTCGCGATGGGTGGGCATGGCCAACTTTTTTTTTTTTTTACTTTTAAAAGCATTTTTTCTACAACCTTAAGAGGTTGCAGAAAAAAATGCTTTTAGAAGCCTCTGCCAATCAGGCAACTCAGCTGGGATCGCCAGAGGCTTTTAAAGGCATTTTTTTTCCTACAATCTCTTCGGCCGAAAAGCCAGCCATGCAAGGAGTGGGTGGGAGTGGTGGGGCGGGGGCAGGGCAGGGGGCGGGGCTGAATCCCACCACTGTGCAGGCCATACCCGGCCCGCGGGCCGTAGTTTGAGGACCCCTGCTTTACACCATTTCTGACAAACTGAAAGCTTCCAGTGATGAAGCTTCCACAACTTCTGAAGGCAAGCTGTTCCATTGGTTGATCATTCTCATTGTCAGAAAAATTCTCCTTATTTGAATCTCTCCTTGATTAGTTTCCATCCATTGTTCCTTGTCTGGTCTTCAGGTGTTTGGAAAATAGCTCTATAGCAGCCCCTCAAATATTGGAACACTGCTATCATGTCTCCCCTGGTCCTTCTCTTCACTAGACTAGCCATGCTGAGTACTTGCAACCATTCATTGTATGTTTTAGCCTCCAGTCCCCTAATCATCTTGCTTGCTCCTCTCTTCACTTTTTCTAGAGTCTCAGCATCTTTTTTATAGGGTGGTGACCAAAACTGGATGCATTCTAGGTGTGGTCTTACTAAGGCTTTATAGAATGGTATTAGTACCTCAATTGATTTTGATTGTATCCCTCTGTTAATGCAACTTACGATTGTATTGGCTTTTTTGGCTGCTGCTGCACATTGTTGGCTCGTATTTAATTGGTTGTCTAATAAGACTCCAAGATCTCTCTCACAGTTACTGCTATTAAGCCTGGTTTCACCCAGTCTATGTGTACTTTTGGTTTTTCTTGCCTAAGTGTAAGACTTTACTTTTCTCTACATTGAATTTCATTTTGTTAGATAGGGCCCAGTGTTCAAGTCTGTCAAGATCCAACTGGATCTTGAGCCTATCATCTAAAGTGTTGGCTATTCCTGCCAGCTTAGAATCATCTGCAGATTTGGTAAATTCCCCTTCTATTCCCTCATTTAAGTCGTTTATGAAAATGTTGAAGAGACTAGGCCTAAGACGGAATCTTGTGGTACCCTACTGCTTACTTCCCTCCATGTAGACGTAGACTACTCATTGAGTACCGTTTGTCAGCCAGTTAAAAATCTATCTGATGGTGATGCTATCTATGCCACTTTTTTCTAGCTTACCAAGAAGTAGGTTGTGGTCTACTTTGTCGAATGTCTTGCTGGAGTCTAAGTATATTATGTCCACAGTATTTCACTGGTCTGCTAATTTAGTCATTATGTTGAAGAACAAAATACGATTGGTTTGGCATGATCTGTTTTTAACAAACCCTTGCTGACTTCTAGTTATTACTTTACTTGTTTCTAGATGTTGGCAGATCTGTTTTTTTTTTTTAATCTTTTCCAGTATCTTCCCAGGTATATTAGGATGATGTTAGGATGATTGGTCTGTAGTTTCCTGGGTCTGGGTTGTTTTTTTCCCCCTTTTTTGAAGTTGGGAACTACATCAGCTCTTTTTCAATCCTCTGGTACTTCCCTGGTGCTCCAGGATTTTTGAAAGATGTGGTACAGTGATTCTGAGATGACACCTGCCAGCTCCTTTAGAACTCTGGGATGTAATCCATCAGGTCCTGGTGATTTGTATTCATCAAGATCAGAAAGGTGTTCTCTTACTATTTTTTTTGCTTATTTTAACTTTTATTTCTTGTCTGTCTTTTACAGTTAAGTTTTTGGTAGGTTGTAAAAAGTCATTGTAACACTAACCTCAAGGGCAACAAATTTGACAGTGATTTAGGATCATAAATTGCAACTTTGCTGCCTACTTCTCATGACAGTTCCACAGAATACTATACAGAAATCAAAGGGCCCTGCTGAATGGGGTCAGGCCAGAATATAAAGGGTCATAAAATTTATACCACAGATGTTTCTGTCTATTTAGTCAGCAAGTTTGATATTTTCACACAAGAGAATAAACTGTTATGGGAGGAGAGGCATGAACGCCTCCTTCCCACACCCAGCTCTATACAACTACAGCAAAGCTGGATCCAGTCCATAGAGGAAAAGTCATAAAAGATTAGTTTAGGTGATTCTTTAAAAAATAGCAGAATTTCTTTCTGCATAAATCTGTATGCCTGTACATTAAGTACATTGAGGTGCAGACTTTAGATTAATTGATTTCATTTACATTTATATATGAACCTTCAGGATTATATGCTAAATTATATTTCAGATTTCCTTATAGGTTTCATTTCCTGATTTATCCATAACATTTTTGTCAGAATGCAGATTTTAATAAATAATGAAAAACTACCGTAAACATTAATATATTGTAAACTATGTACTACTTATATAAGTTCTTTTGCTTTTTATACCATTTAAGTAATAATTTAGAAAAAGTTTTGGTTTCTTCCTCTTTCCATAGCTCTTTAACCTTGTATCAATTTATAGCAAATTATTGCTGAACTGTTGCCATTTGAAAGATATTAAAATATTCAGACTTTAGAGTTAAGTTTATTGTTGCATATTTCTAGGTAGAAATTCTAGCTAGGATCTAGAAGAGGTTAGCCATGTTTTAATCTCATTGAAGTTTGAAATAGTTAACAATGATCAGAACAATGATCTTGATTAATATCTTATTACTTTTAATTAGGACCAGTATGAATAATGTCTTGTGAAGTCAGCTTTCTAGGTAGAGCAGACAGATGATATACTAAATAAATGTTAATTTAGAAATAAGTCACATTGAATTATGGACTTAATTAAGTATGCATGATTGGCTCCTCCAAAGTAGTTTACCATTTCTTTTCGCATAACGTTTCTCTTTTCTGATACTCCTTTGTAGATTAGTCACTTTCATTTCTGTCATCAAAAACCATACACTTATGGCTTGCTCTTTACTTCTTCAGCTCCTTGATCAAAAATCTAATTCTCCCTTCTCTTCTCTGCAACCAGAAACTTAACAAGGTGTGTAGTCAGTATTGTTGAATACCATGTAATTTCTTCTGCTGAGCTATTATATTGTTCTGTGTCTGATTAGTTAAATACTGCACATTACACTGTAAGAAAATAACACAGTAAAAATTACAGGTATGAGTAAAATAATAATAAATAACCCATTACAACATATTTATGTAATGTATTTAATGTGTTTTACTATATTTAGAGTAATTGAAAATTAGTCATTTTAGTAATTCAGTATTAACTTTCTAATTAGGAATTCCCTTATTCATAGTTCCACAGTAATCTAAATTGTAAATCAATATGATTTGAGAATATGGCTGTAATATTGAGATCTATGGAACTATATTCCTGATAAATTTGCATGGCTAGTTTCCTATGCAAATTTACCAAAACTAAATTTATTTTAGTGAAACATATCTGTTGTAGAAATATCACAGACATCTTCAACCTTCTTGGACTTTCAGCTGTTTGCATAGTTCAGTTTTCTATGCCATACATACTCAAGAATTACAGAGCAATTAGATGACTTTTGACTTTGTCTCATGATTCAGCAGCTGAAAGGATTATTTTAATCATGACCATCTACAGCAGGGGTGTCAAACTCGTGGCCTGCAGCCCAGATGCGTCATGGGCTGGCCATGCCCACCCCCATTTTAGCAAAGAGGGGAAAAGTCTTAATATGTTACGTGATGACAGTGTGATGGCACGAGTTTGACACCCTTGATCTACAGGGAAAGCAGTTACACTCTTATCTCCCTTGAAGCACAGATAGCAATTTTCCCAGATTTACAACTTTCTAAATTTATTTTCATTCTAGATAAGCATTTTTTAAAAATTAGCAGAAAGCAATGACTCAAAATCAGAATTCTAGGAAGGAATTTTAAAAGAAATTTAAGCGCTATTAGCATGTCTGCTATACTTCCTCTGCTATGTTCTGTCCTCCCTGTCCTCATAGAAACAACTATAAAGGGTCATAAATATTTTTATTTGACTTTCTAAATACTTCAGAGTTTCTGAGAATTCGGTGGCATATAAATGTAATAAATTATTATTATTTGTAAAGTTCCTTTTTATTATAGATATATTTCAGGAGGTAAGCATAATGACTGAATAAACAAGACTGAGCAGCTAAATTTATTAAGAACTGAAGCAGAATTGTAGGTAACATTAAGTTAGATTGAAAATGTTGGTTTCTTTCTCTTTCTGGACAGTCTTTCTGAGAAGGTGTGCTGGATGTTTGCCATCTGGAATTATTTGTAAAAATAATATACAAATACAAATAAATAAATAAAAATCAACAAAATTATAAATTGAAAAAAAGCCAGGAAAAGTATTTATTGGAGTTATATATTGTCTGTCTTTGTGATTAACAACTATTAATAATAAATTAAAAATAATAAAACTTAGTGCCTAATTAAAACCCATCATAGTAGACAAAGCAGCTTAAATATAGAATATCTATATTGATAAATAAATAAAATTGTGCCTTTGAATCAGTGTTGACTGCTGGCGACTATCTGGACTGGTCCCTGCAGGCTTTTTGGCAAGATTTCAGAAGTGATTTACCATTTCCTCCTTCCTTAGGCTGAGAGAGAGGCCTTTAGTGACTGAGCTGGCTTTGTGTCTCAGTTGGGACTAGAACTCACAGTCTCTTAGGTTAAGCACTACAACAAACTGCCTCTCTAAATACAGAGTATTTGCCTAAATAAAAATATATTTGTCTATTGTCAGAAATAAAACAAAGTGCAAGTTACCTTGGTATTCCAAAATTTCACATTAACCCAATAATTTGTAATGATGCCAAGACAGAAGTGTTTTTAATATTTGGGTAAATTCAAATGCAGGAGAATATAGCTTTAGCTTTGTCTGAACACACTTTTATTAAGTCATAACCAGTATTCTTATTTAGTGGTGCATATCATAATAAGGCCATATAGGATATAACTATGGCATGTTTCATCATGACCAGATTCGGCATCTTCAGAATGATATGTCTGGCACAGTAAACTTAGCTGTGCAAGTGCATTCTTAGTTTTTAAGATTCTGTGGGTAATCTTGGACCCAAATTGTAAGTTTTCAAAGAGTAACAGCATCCAATATACCAAATTCCTATTAGTTAATTTGCCTTCTCTTGTCTAGCTTAGGCTGCAGTTTACCTTCCTTCAACCCATTATTGGTCTTATTCACTGATAATGTGGTGCTAGTAGTAAGAGATGTGGTGCTGCCTACTAGCAGATCTGGCTTCAATAAAAGATTGGACCAATTCATGGAAATCGGCGGACTAATGACTATTAGTTTTGATGCCAGTATTATCTTTGAAGGCCATCTGCAGGCAGACTAGTGCATTTCCTTGTGCAGTTGATTCACCACTATGAGAACAGATAGTGGAATTAGATGGGCCATGGATCAATCCAGCCGGACACTGTTTATATTCTTAAGTACCTGAAAAACTTTCCTAGTTTTCATCCAACAGTAGGAAGATATTGTAGTGGATTCCATATTGACTCATTTAAAAACAAGATACTCCTTTGAAGATCTGGTGCTAAGGTTGTTCAGTCCCCACATAGGCCAGAAAGATGAGTTGCTATTCAGATGACTTTTCAATACCTAAATGTGCAACCAGCGGCAAAAACTGCAGCTCCATGAAGTACTTTACTTTGTGTAATGTTATCTGAGCTAATGGAAAAATAATTAATCCACATTGTGAAAATAAAGTAAACTCCAAAGCCTAGTGAGGTATACACCTTTCTTTTTAGCACCATGGCAAGTACTGGTTCCACTGGTTCTTCAGTTATTCTCTACAGGATATTTGCCAGTGTTTCTAAACTGATTGAAATTATTCTGAAACCAGATTTCCCTCATCCTGACAAATCACATGAAGTGATCAATGCATGAAAGAGTGCTGCCAGAAACTAACATAGACTTCTGTGTAGATTGATTGTTTCTCTTTTTCCTAATGCAATTTAGTATATAACACTAAATAACAAAGCATACAAAGAAGAAAAATACATAGGTGTATTTGTAGTGCAGATTGTGCATATAAATTGCAATCACAATGTTGAAGCTGCACCTGTAAAAAATATGTAGTTTACATATTTTTTTAAATTGCGTTTGCACTTTAGTTATCTATGATTACATATGTGTACATATATGTATATGCACACACTGAGACAGATTTGTTCTTTAGTCAAAACGTTTTGATTTTGCATTTTAAGGTACCTGTGAAATCTACCTTTGATTGGATATTATATTATCAGGAAGTGTTGATCCATTAATGCTAATTCATGATGTAAAGTTTTGATCAATGCTAATTGAAAGCTAGGATATATTTTTTTAAAAAACTAAGAGAGTAATGTATGTAAAATTTGCTAAAATATCGTATTGATACTGCATTTATGTATTTTTATTTTATATTTAGTAATATTTCAACCATAATCTAAATATAATTTCAGATGCAGATGGAATTAGAAAAAAGTATCACAAAAGAACTGGACCAAGGTAAATAACAAATTATATGCTGACAATTTGAAACTTGTTTTGCTGTTGGCTTTGTTTCCCCACCTCCACCCTGCCGCTGCCAAGAAAATGATACAAATACTGAAATTTTGAGACCCTGCATCTCATCATTTATGTTTTAGAACAGGGCCGGATGCGTCACATGCTGGCTCTGCCCCCACCCCGTTTAGTGAAGGGGAAAAAAGTCCCGATACGTCACGTGACAACGCGAGTTTGACACCCGTTTTAGAACCTAAATGTGGCCACAGTAAAAACTTTAGAAACTTAGTTTTAGAACATAAAAATATAAAACCCATTATTACCTGCTGACAAATAAACTAATCTATATGATAGAAATATAGTTCTAGTGTATAATATACAAAGTAATATAAATAGAAGGAAAAAGGAAGTATCTAATATTTTAGATCATAGAAATATTATAAGCAATTGTTTTAGAGCAGGGGTATCAAACTGGATTTCTTGGAGGGCCAGATCAGCATTATAGTTGTCCTCCGTGGGCTGGCCGTGGGGAAGGGGAGGAGGAAATGGGACGGACTCCCCCTTGCAGCATCCTGCCGGCCAAACTGGGGCACGGGAGGGCCATGGGCAGCCCCCGTGTGCCCCGTTTTTGGCCTGGACTGCCTCCTGCAGCACTGTGGGCCAAAACAGGCTGCGCAGAGGTCACCCCCGGGCCCTGTTTTGGCTGGCAGGGTGCTACAGGAGGCTGTCCAGACCGAAAACAGGTCATGCGGGGGCTGCCCGTGACCCGTTTTCGCTAGCAGAGGCACCATGGGCTGGTTCTTTGCTATTTTCAGGCTGGCCCTGCAGGCCGGGTCTAAGTACCCATGGGCCAAATCCTTGAGTTTGACACCTCTGTTTTAGAGCCTCAAACACTCAGAACTAGCTACATATTCAATAGATAAAAGGTAAATTTAGCTCCATTGAGATTAATAAAATTGAGGTCTAACATGTTCCATTGATTTTAAACATCATAGTATGCCAATTTATAATGGATGAATTGCTTTAATAAAGTAAACCAAGAAAATCAATGTTGAGATGGATATGAAACTAAGTTAGAAGTTGCTTATATTATTCAGGTACTTTATTGCACATTGGAAAGTTTTTTCTAAAACAATGTATATGCATGTTTCATTTTGGATTATCCAAATGAAATAGAAAAAATAACATGTAAAATTAAACTAAAAATGTGAAAATGATACTTTAATATTCCTACAAGACATATAAACTTTAGTGTTTTCATCAAATAACCATGCCAATTTTTAGACTGCAGAAAATTCTCACTGTTCTCCGATCTTGGTTGTTTGCTTGTAGCATTTCATTACTCAACTATGTAAGATCACTGCTATTAAGTGTGGAGCTTTGTTTAGTGTGTGTGCACTCACACATGCGCACCCACATACATATTGTACATACAGCTCCCTGTATATAAATATAGCAAATCACTAGCACTGATGCAGTTACCTAGTTGGATATTGAAATGCCTGCAAGTAAACAAACAAGCTCAGAGCACCAAGAATTCCACATTCAATCCTGAGCTACATATATTCTCTTCTATTGGAATGTCTCAATTAAAAGCATTCCAGAAAGCCTACATTATTGGGTTTATTGCAGTTTGTAGCCTGATTTCTGCTATATATAATCTCAAAGCATTCCCTTTGACTGTTCCAATATGATTTATTCTGCATAGAAGATATTGATAATTTAGGATAAAACTGTTATCCTTATTTCTAAAACGTGTATAAAGTTTGCAAAGGTATACACTGTGGCTAGAAAGTTTTTTTTTCTTCCATAGCAAAATAGTTAAAAATAATGCTCATAATATTCGACAAAATTGGCATTGATACTATTGTCACTGCATCAGATATTATGAAACCTGTAAAAATTACTCTTTTTTCAGCTAAAGCTGAACTTGATGCCGGATCTGTTAGAGTCTCCCCTGTAGGATCAGTTGATGGATCTTCAAAAAAATCAAATATAGACCAAGATCAAGTTTCCAAGGCAAGACAGCAGTATCTAGATGTTTTAAAGAAAAACTATATGATTTGAATAAAGTCTGCAAACTTGTAGATATGACTTGATCGCTTAACTTTTCAATAGGATGCATATCTGGCACAATGCACTTGTATGTAGAGAAAATACTTTATAGACTTGTGGTCCCTGTTTTGTTCTCTTCACCACCCCCATATTTTTTCTTTAGTAAATTCACACTATTCTATGACTTATAAAACTGCCTTTGTTAGGTTTGTAGTTTATATGTATATAAAAAAAAGTCCTTCCTGGATCTGCTCTTGTACTTTTATTTGCATGTTGTCAGATAAGTTACTATGTTTTTCTGATACATTTGCTTTATGCCGTTAAATGCATTCCATATAAATGGCATTTCTACTTTTTATTAATGACTTTTACATAGGCTCAGCATTAGGCATCCTATTCTGATAATATGCTGTTCCAGAAGTAGTGCCACAAGACATTTGATCTGTATTTTTAAGTAGTGCTGAAAATGCACTGATGATTTGATTATAACAAACCTCAAACATTTTCTATATATTGAACTAATGGTTCAGGCTATTGTTTATTTTTTAGTTTTTCAAGGGTGGTGCTGTAAGGTATCTGGTGCCATTGAGCTAGAATATGCTCAAGTGATACAGTGTGTCCTAAATTTACAATTTCCGGAAATTCTATTAATTTTGAATGTTAGCACATAGGAAGCATGCACGCACGCGCGCACACACACACAAGCCCCAAGATGTATCACAACTTTTAGCGGCTCTATTCATTAGAAGAATGATAGCTGGTAGTGGAATTCTGTCTCCTAATCGCAGCTGGAAGATTAGAAGGATCTTGCACACTGAACTATAGGTTGTGGAAAAGGAAGTTTCATTCATAATGTTGCAAATCATCCTCACTAACATGAATACATTCAATTATTTAAAATGTCATAATAAATTACAATGGCACAAACTGCCCAGTCATTTTTTAAGAAATTAAAAATATTTTTTATTTATAAAGTACACTTGTACGTAATGTGATTTATTTAATATAATTTTAAAATATTGCTTTTTCTGAATGTTTTTCCTAGCAAAATATTCTTTTTGTGTCAGCAGTTTAGAATTTTCATTTCCTTATGTTCTAAGCTATAACACTTCTAGATAACAGTTTTTAAAGTTGCTTTTTCCAATTGCTATGTTGGAGTTCTAAATACATGAGTCAGTAGTAAAATGTATACTTCAATTTACATAAAGCTATAACAGTAAAAAATAAGTATAAATGATCCAATTATGCAGATTTTAAAAAGGAGTCATGCCATTGTATAAATAATTCTGTAAAGCAGTCCTTATTCTTTTGTCTTTCAATGTACAACTGAATTCAAAGGTTCTGCTCGAATATTTCCCAAGTCAAGGGCTGAATCTGTTTCTTCATCTATTTCTCCAATTACAGCTCTGAAAAAGAAATTTTGATTGCTCTAGTTACATATATTTTAAATTAAATACCAAAATACCTGCATGCTATTCTATTACAAAAATAGTTATTTCTACTTAATATTATTTTCATATTTTGCAGCAAACTGAAAAGTATTAATGAAATTCTACAAAAGAAGGATATAATATCTAGCCCATGTGCATTGTACTGAAATAATTATCACATAAAAAAACCCTTGGAGACAATAACTTGCACCAACAATACAGAGAAGTATTTTGTGCAAAAATGACTTTAAAAAAGAAAATAAGCCATTATTTTTTTCTCTTAGAATTGCAGTGATATACATGTATACAAAAGTAAATTCAAGAAAAAATACAGAAGGTTCAGAGGGAATGTCAAACTTTGACATGACTTGACTGCTTAAGAAATAAAGTCTGGTTATGAGAGTTAGACAAGAGGTAATATTAATGAAAGAGGAATAAAGAACACATATGGGTTGAATTATAAAGGAATTCTATATAAATATTAGTATGCAAATAGTTGGAAGGGGCAAAGGAAAGTGAATTTTCATCAGTGAGTAGCATGAAAAGCCTTAGCAGGCTTTCCAAACTGAGGTACCACTCTTGGAGAGGTGTAGACGGAGTCCAGGGGCAGTGTGAAAGCCTTTTAATTACATTGCTACAATGCATCCACCTTTCCCAAACTTTAATTGTACCGTATTGTTTTAATTGTTCGTTTGATCTGGATTTTTAAGGGAGGTGTGTATTTTAAGATTATACTAAAGGGAGGTGTAATGGGGAAAAAACTTTTAGGAACCACAGCTTAGAGGGATACCAATAACCTTGTTTCCAGATAGGCTCTCAAATAACAGATGATTTCATACCCTAATTGTAGCTGGGATTACATTAACTTCAAAATAACACTTACACATTATCTCCTCTCACAATGTATAATCCTAATACTACTTGTTCCACTCCTTGTGAAGAACTGAATACTCTTTCATGGCTCTCATCCAAAATCAAATTGATTGTCTGATCAAAGCCCTTGAGAGTGCCCTAAAATAAATACATAAATGCAATCTATCAAATTTTTATTCATAAAGCATATTTGTTACAATTCTTTATTTTTCACCCTTTAAAAATCTGAACAGCAATTCATATTTAAATGAGATGGATAACAATAAATTATATATTGACATCAAACCAGGTCTGGACTGTTTGGGGGTTTTTTTGTTTTTTTTTGCTTACCAGTGAGTTTTTATACATCAATCAATTAAAAAGGTAAAGATTTCTCCTTTCCAGTCAAGTGTGATCTAGCAGGCAGTGCTCATCTGATTTCCTAGCTGAAGGAGCCAGCATTGTCTGGACACTTCCATGATCATGTGGCCAGCATGACTATACAGTGAGGCGCATGGAACGCTGTTACCTTCCCTCTGAAATGGTACCTATTTACCTACCTGCATTTACATGCTTTCAAACTGCTAAATTGGCAGGACGTGGAGCAAGAATGGGAGCTCACAGCATCACCCAGTACTTGGATCTCAAGTTGCCAACATTCTGATCAACAAACCCAGCATCTTAACCGCTAGGCCATCATAACCAATCATTAATATCCATTTACTTCATTGCACACTTTTTTCTCTCAAAAATTGGTTTAGGGTTAATTAATGGTTGTCAGTTAACGCTGCAAATCTAGATATCCATACTGTAATCACAAGGACATCACACCCATTATTTCCACAATGGGCAAAAAAGTCCTGAATGAGATTTTAACACTAGTGGCAGGAAAATAGCACGACAGCCCACTTTTGATACAAGCCAAACATTTTAGAAAATAATGAGTTTAAGAGGAAATCTCACCACAATCATTCGACCATCTGAAGTAATCACAGCAACAGTACCTAAAAGTCATGTCAAGGAATGACCTTAAATTGTATCTTTGTGAACGTGCGTGTATGCTCCTCCCAGCTCCTGCCAAATGAAAAGGATAAGCTCACACTTCCAATGCTACATATAGAGAGCCCTTTAAGAAACTGGATCTCTCCCCGTTCAAAACCAACACTTCGGCAACTATGACCTCTTTTCCTCACAGAAATGTGATGCCTGTGTAGGCATATACTTCGTATGCCTATAGCTCTCTTACTGTTCCATTTTGAAGAAACCCTCCGGAGTCGATTGCACCGCCCAGTAGGGCGTCGCTTTCATTTTACAGCAAAGCCCGCCCCCTCCCACGAAATCGAGCCATCCAAGCGGAGCCGATTCTTGAAAAAAAGAGAATGGCAGACTTTGCAGCCAATTGAAGGCCGCCGAACATCCCCTCGCGCGCGCGGAACAATGGCGAAGACTGAAATGCGAAATTAGACGGGAGCCCCTCAACGCTTTACTTTCCCATCCCATTCCCACTTCGCCCCTTCAGCACTCGCGTATTTTTCACCACGTTTGTAGTGTTTGTGGCAAAGGAAGGATACGGTTGATGTAGTTTTCCAACGCGGAGGTCATAGCGACGATCCCTATTGAATCCTACGCTCCTAAACTATCGCGAGGTTTCCCGTTCTCAAGCGAGAAACTAAATTCTCTCACGTGGCATGGACTTTTGTGACGCGCGCGAGCGAGAGAAGCCAAAGCTCTGCAGAGCATGCGTTATGTAGATTCTTAAGATGTAGAAAAGGAGTAGAGTAGTCACATCTTCGGTAGGAAAGAACTCTTCCGGTTCCATTTTTCTTGAGGGAAGTTACTGTTCCCCCGCACAAAAAATATGGCTGGTTAGATATGTTTTATACACCTTTCCTCAAATTAAAAAGAAAGACAGCCTTAGAATGTTAATTTTAAATGCAGAGTTAATTTAAAAACGGCGCCAAGGAAGAAGGATTCCTTGACAGTTAAAGGTTTAGAGTTAAAGAGAGGCTTGGCCATCAGGCGAGTCTATGGTGGCCGGATGTTATCGGTCATTCTCGCGATCATACGCGGGGCGGAACAGGACGGCGGGAGGCCGAGCGCTTTGGTGACGGCTTCTCAGTCGGTTAGAGGTAGACTGATGGCCGACCGGGCTGCCAAACTTCGGACCATCGATGGTAGCAGGAGCTGTTTTGCCACTATTCAGTGCTTGGCTGGATTTTTGCAGCTCGGATCCTTTGGCTCGGGTCTCCAACCTTGGACACTTAAAGCTGGCTGGGGAATTCTGGGAGTTGAAGTCCGCCAGGCTTAAAGTGCCCAAGGTTGGAGACCCTTGCTTTGGCTCACTCTCTTCCCAATTGCAGGGCTTGGTGGTCTATTTGAAGTGGGAAGACAACGGTTGAGTATCGCTGAAGTATGCACGGAATCAGCGCACCGTCAATTTATTTGCAATTGTATTTCAGAATCAGAAGTAATAGGTCTTCACAGTCTGGCCGACATAGAAATACAATAAAGCCCGTGTATTACAAGATGCAGAGGAAAAAATTGTTTTTTTTCCCACTGTGCAAACCCTACACACACCTGCATTCTTAGATGCATTTTACAGCATGATAAAGTTTGCTTGAGTATAACTTTTTCGGGTGGGAGCTTGAAACCAAATTGTTTTTTGTGATATACCATATTCGGTAGGCGTGGACCATTATTTTACAGTTTATCGTGGAAATGCAGAAAGTAGATTCATTCAATAAGCAAGGGGATGCATGAATGCGGTCCGCATCAGCTGAAAAATGCTCAACAGAATAAATCGGGTATTAGAGGTTAAAGCAATATTTGCCACTCCATAAATTTGCATTAGGAGTCATACTATACTACTCCATGATAGTTTAACAAATCTGAATGGCACATTGGGAAGCTAAGAAACTTTCCTTATGTACTGATCAGGATGAATTTACAAAACTGTCCAAAACAATACTGTGAATGTATGCATGAGATAAATATGTTGTTTCAAGGAGCATCTTGGTGCCATAGTCCAATTAAGAATTTGTCAGATCACCTAGAATTTTGGCCAGTAGACACGTGGGATTTTGAGAATAAATTGTGAATGTTTTGGCTGCCATGGAGAGGCAGGTTGCAGTCACAAAATAAAAGTGACAAATAAAGCAGAATGTTAAGAGGGAGATAAGTGGGTGCATGGAATCCTGCAAGTGTTACACTAGGATCTGGTTATAGTTGTCCACATTCTAAACACTGATCTCCTTGAAGTCTTTTTTTCTTGATTGCAATAGTCAGTAAATACTTGAAAAGGCTTTCAATATTTTAGCACACTACCCTGGAAATACAGACTTTATAATCCAAAATATATGTTTATCTGGAAAATGTGTAATGCAGACAGGAAGAAGTGCATGAACTTTTCTCCATATCAGCAATGTATACAGTACATGAAATTTAGAAACTAATTCCACAGAATGTCAATAGAAAAAAATATCTGTAGCTCAAGGGTGAACGGTGGGGATCTTGGTGCTCTCTGAGCTTTATTGTTTTCTTGCAGATGTTTCATTATCCAACTTGGAAATGTCTGCAAGTAAACAATCATGTTGAGAGAGCACTAAGGACCCCACAGTCTATAGTAGAGTTTTGTTGGCTTATTTCCAATTGTTTTGGAGTCATTGGTGCTGTCTGAGCTTGGTTGTTTGCTTGCTTTGTTTAATTATCCAAATGGAAAACATCTGCAAGTAACCAAGTTCAGAGAGAACCAAGGTCCCCACAGTCCATATGGAGTTTCATTGGCCTTACAGGCAATCCTCGATTTACAGCCATTCATTTGTGACTGTGCCATTGCAGAAAGGGACTTATCACAATTTTTCACTCTTAAAACCATTGCAACATTCCCACAGTCAAGATCAAAATTCAGTCGCTTGGCAACTGGCATGCATTTATGGCGGTTGCAGTGTCTCGGGGCTCAGTTGTAGTTCTTAATCGAGGATTACTTGTATTTCAAATTTGCTGAGGAGTCATTGGTACTCCCTGAACTTGGTTGTTTTCTTGATGTTTTATTACCTAACTCTAGGTAACATCATCAATGCAGGTATAAGAATAAATATCCTTCTGGGTTCAGCTCCAAGTGGGGAAAAAGACACATGGAGACTGCTTGGAAAGATGGTTTAATGGTGGACAGGATCACATGGTTTGAGTTCCTGAACAGAAAAGGGGATGAGACACAATGAATCCCCGGGTTTTATGCCCTCTCTGGCTTTGAATTTCCTGGGGCGCAGAAAGAGTATCCTGATTGGTTGTCAGACTCCCAGGGGGTGGGGGTCTTAGCTAGCCTTGCTGGCTGATGTAATCTTCCCAGGTGCCAAGTGGTGAGTTTCTGTTGCTAGATGGATCCTATTGTGTTGCATATGATGGTCCATTGACAAAAATTGAGTTTTTGCCTCTGGCCCATTGACAAAGGGTGGGGGCAGGAAGATGGGAGCTGCTTCCTCTTTAAATCATGCTTCTCCATTTCTCATCCAGGGAAACATAATATTCTGCCTTTTTAATATTTCCCAAAATATTTCATTCCTCTAGGAAAGGGGTGGGTGCTAACTTCCTATACAGGTAAGTGTGGGATTTGTTTCCTGTTTATATACAGTACCTTGCCCTGCTAGTTTTGGTGGGGGTGAGTTTTTCTCTTTGGTATTTCTTTGATTAGGATATTGTTTTCTACTTAATTATTTGTTAGGTGTTAATCCTGTCTTATCTGGATCCTTGACTGCTGGTGAGGAGGTGTTGTAGTCTTTTTTTGTTTCCTTCTAAGTTTTTTGTTTTTACCTTTAAATGGTTTATAAATACAATTTATTTATATGTGTTTATATGTGATAGCTGATTTGTCTGAATGTCAAGCTTTCAGGAATTCGCTAACATTTTGGTCTAGGTACTAGCATTTAGTTTGATCTAAGATGCTCACAGTTTCCCAGTTGAATCAGGTTGAGTTTCTCTATCTGTTGTGAAATTAAGGAGTTTTCATCATGTCTTCTGAATTTTAGTTGCTTGACTGTGAGGCAGTTTTTGATAAAGATGTCCAGGAAGAGCTGTGTGTCATTTTCTTTTTCCCTTGTACATTTTATTCTTTTAATGATGTTGTTAATTGTTTCATTTATCTTCTCTAATTGTTCCTTTTTTTAATAGTATGAAAGTATCATCTGCCTACTGAATCCGTTTTGTAGATAGATATTATATAGGGTGTTTCTTTATTCTGCTGTTCTGGGTTACTGCTGTTCATTTGTGAATAATACTCTTACCCAGCTCCTCTTGTGGGAGGTTGACTTGTTACTTTGGCAATGGAGCATTTGATTAGTGTGGGTTGGTTTTCTATAGACTGGCATTTCTAATTTGCCATTATTTCCCCTGACAGATGAGGATGTCCAGGAAAAGCAGTGCGTCATTTTTTTTTCCCCTTGTAAATTTTGTTCCTTTAAAGATGTTGATTGTTTCTTCTCTAATTGTTCCTTTTTTCTTTTTTTTTGATTAGTAAGAAAGTATCATCTGCCTACTGAATCCATACACTTGGTTTTATCTGTAGGAGTGCTATATCTAAAATCTGCATTATTCTTTGAGTCCTAAGAGGGATGATCACATGGTTGTTGGTATGTTTGTCCATCAAACTTAAAGTAGGCAGTGAGGTGGAGGTTGATGGAGCCCATCATCAACCTTTCAATCTTAGTATATTCAGCTGTGTTGTGCAGTATTACTGCCATGGATTCTATCACTACTTCTCCATGTGAAAGAGTATTGTGACATTGAATGAAAAAGAAATCTCCAAAATAATGCACAGTTGTATGTAAAAGTAACAACCCAAGCTTCCACAAAAAGAACTGTGAAAAACATCATTCAGATTAGAACAAATGCACTACAGCAACCTTAAGTGCCAGAAAAAAGGAAACAGACCATATACCATATCTTCCAACAAAATGGATACCCACATAACTTTATCAAAAAGTGCCTGACTACTCAACCTGTTACAGGACAACCAACATCAGCTATGAAAAGGATGACCCTACCATACATCAAAAACAACCAATAGGCTCAGTGCAACTGCAGGGCATCACAGTAGCACACAAACCAGCTAAAGCCCTCCAAAACATCTTAAGTAAACTAAAAAGACCCAGGAGCCTAAAAAGTGAATGTAGTTTTGACACTGAGCATAGTTTGTTTAGTAACATAACAACCTGCGCGGGGGATTATGGGAGCGATGGGGCACTCACATATAACACCTCTCCTGCGTGAGCTGCACTGGCTTCCTGTGGTCTTCCGGGTGCGCTTCAAGGTGTTGGTGACCACCTTTAAAGCGCTCCATGGCTTAGGGCCGGGGTATTTGCGAGACCGCCTTCTGCCGCCGATAGCCTCCCACCAACCGGTTTGCTCACACAGGGTGCCGTTGGCCAGGCAGTACCGGCTGGCGACCCCCAGGGGGAGAGCCTTCTCTGTGGCAGCACCTGCCCTCTGGAATGACCTGCCCCCTGAGATACGCACGATATCAGACCTCTTTTGGACAGGGTGTACATAACAGTAGTAAATGATGCCTTCCCACAAAAAAAAAAAAACATGACTTTTTTACTGAATTATTTTACTCAATTCACAAAATAGACTTTATAGACTTTGGGTGGATGGTGTGTGTACTCACAGAGCAACTCTATGTGGTGTATCATTAAAAACATAAAAACCATATAAAATATTGTATTTC